CAACTGTTAAACGAATTAATCACGAGTCCTGGTTGGGGGGGGGGGGGGCTTGTATGTGTGTGTAATTGGGTTTTTACAGACATGTATTAATCAGATATGATTATTTACATCTAGGGACCAGCTTTTAACGTCACCATCCGATAGACGTGACTCAGTTTCGAACCGGGGTCGCCTGAGTCAGTTTGTAGGTCAGGACGGAGAGCTGACCAAGTAAACATGCCGCTTGACCAACTCACAAAGCCTTTTTTCAATGAAAAATGGCAAGAATCAGTGATAATTCTGCTGATAACCAATCAGAAGCAAGAATTTCACTAGCTTTTAACAAAAACTCTCATTTGTCACTGATGACAAGTTTTGTGAAACGCACCCCTGAAATATTAATTTGTAACTTCTTGTCATAGCAGTATTAAAGATCAGCAATGGTAAACGATTGTCCCTACAATAAGGCAATCGTTGCTTAGATTGCTTTTTCCGAACAATTACCATGTGAAATAAGGCTAGATAGAATTATGACCGAAAAAATGATATTGTCTTGAAAACAGTCAGAGAGCATTAGAACTAGAATGAATAAGACATAATGCGATTATTTTTTCTTGTTAGTCATCCAGTACCAAATAACCATGCAGAACTCGAGCGAGATGCAAATGAGGGTAAAATTAAAGATAATAATTCATAAGTTATGTGTTATTGTCATGATAGTATTCTCTACTCATTTCTTCTTTATATTTTACTTTATTTTACAATATGTATTCTATCAATTTTTCTTCTTTTCTCTTGATAATGTTTCAGCAACAAATTGAGAGCTTTGGTAGACATCTCGAATGTATTATAGCAATCAATCCTAGGCACATGACATTTGCAAAAAAAGATAATCAAGATAATAAGGATCAGAATAATACCACCCCCTCAATGATTTTGTTAGTGGAAAAAAAATAAAATTAAAAAGCTCTTGGGTGTTGATTTAAAAAAAAAAAGTGTTCCTTACCTTGATGGTTGGAGTTTGATGGTTGGATATTGATGGTTGTATTAAAGAGCAGCAATAACTGATACATAATAATCATTATCACAAAAATCATTGCGAAGATTGCTTTTGGGACATTAAGCTAAATTTAAACTGTGATCGACAAAAATTATATTCTTTTGAATTTTTTTTATAGAAAACATTGGAAATATAATTAATAAGACATTATTGTGAACATGGCAGCCGAGGATGACAAACTTGATTTGACTTGGACGAAATTGGATACCAAATGATGAAACTGATTGGAAAAAAAAAGTTTGAAAATAAAATGAATTATCACAGACGAAATTGACTAGGAGATGTGCAAGTTTAAACAGTCTCAGGACAAACTTGAGTGAAAAAAGTATGAAATTGATGGAAAAGGTGTTAAAATAAATGGGAAAATCTAAATATACATGATCGTTAATCGTGAGAATGTATATATATTTTTAAATTTCCCTTCATTGTGAAGATTGAAAAGAAGGTTGAATATTAAATTGAAGACAATGTCAAAAGGTTATTTATCAGCTACTGAAAAAAAAAACATTATAGAGCACTGTGGTATATTGGTGAGGACTCTTGACTCCCAAGGTATGTTACTTATCAGTGCTACCTTAGGCAGGGTGTTGTGCTTAAAGAGTATGAATATGATACATAAGAAAAGCATGGACTTTTGGTAACACATCCTAGTATCAATGAGGTGTCATAGCAACTGCTCTATCAGACATGATATTTACCTTTACAAAATCTCCTGGATCTGGATTTGAATCAGTTAAGCAGTTAGAGATTCTTGTACAGAGACACGACTATTTCTCATTTAAATCAGTCTGTTACATTAATATTTGTCCGCAATATTTAATTTCGTATCATACGATTTTCAGTGTCGACATTTTCTACATTATCGAGACCTAAAATGCCTCAGATTGGATTGCAATCAAACTGGAATCGAAAATGACACAAATTTAGGTGCTTACATTTGTTTGTATATTTGTTTTTTAAATTATATAAATGTGATATTTATCTACAACAAAAATCAAATTGGCAACGGCCATAGTAGATAGTCACATCCACCACCTAAGTTATGACAAAACGAGCAGATTCTGATGGCTGAGGGTACTGGATAACAAATATGTATCATTTAATATTGTTTGTTATTCTGCTTGTTTTGTGGTTTGTAGTGATGAGTTACATTTCTTTTCTTTATTTGGAGGGGGGTTCAAAGATAACAACTTCTTTAACATTTGGTTTCTATGGCAACGGTCTTATCGTGTTACTTGAAATGACTCAAATTTAAATCATAATTAAACGGACAGCTGAAGTTATTAAATGATTACCGTTTGTTGAAAATCATAGTATTTCCTAAAATTCCAATACTCTTGATTCGTTTTCGTTATAACGGCCCAGCGCTCACGTCGATCACCTACTTTATGGAAAGCAGAAAGATTGTCATACCTGAGGGTCCTAGAAAAGATAAAGTCATCATTTGAAATTTTCCAAACTTTCATATCTAAAAGATAAGCAGCGTTAATTTCATTTTTTTGAATACATATATTAATTTACTTACAATATCTTTTAACATGACATTTTTTTTATTTTCTAATGTTCGGGATTCGTTAACATGGTAATAGCCCTTGTGGTCACAATCCACCACAAACTTTAGGGGAAACAAGCATATTCTGATAGGAAAGGGTCCTTATTAACAGGGGAAATCATTCAAAGCCTACCTACACCAATTTAGCCAGGAGGGATTAGACCTCCCTGTTTGGTCACTGACAGGTGGTTATCTCATCATATCAGCTCTCAATTAATATAAGGAGAAGGGGATCATGGGGGACCAACGGGTACTGCTTAGGCATTGTTTACTACAAAGAGAGCGCAAGTAGCTATAAATAGTGCAGTCCCGCTTCAAGACTGTGTCTCAGGTGGTATGTTTGTCATCATATACGTCATATAACCACACTTTATCAGCCACACCATCGTCAACACTATTTCCCCTCCTATAATGCATGTTCTTTTCGTTACTATCATCCACACTTTTATCCACACTATTAATCACACTATTATCCATATTGTTATCCACACTATCATCCAAACTATTATCCACATTGTGATCCACGCTGTATTATCCACACTCCTATCCACACTCTCATCCACACTCTTATCCACACTCTTATTCACACTCTCATCCACACTGTTATCCACGCTATTACTTACACCGCTATTCACACTATTACCATCAATAGAACATGCATCCACTTCTTTTTTAAATCACCCTTACGCAATTTCGACAGCTTTGAGCGTCACCTATTGAAACATACGATCACGACTTGACGTATTAAGTAGTCCGAACATAAAACAATTCTATGGTTAATATTTATTGAAATTAATCTCTTAAAAGCATTACTAAATATGTCATTGACTACATTAGCAAAATGTAAAATAAACTCGTTTGCTCTATGAAAAGTGTCAGAAGGAGATATTGGAAAAGTATAAAAATAGATTTTCATTTGTAACAATTACATTATAAAAAGTCTCCAAGAATCATTTCTACCTTGGTTGTTGATATTATTTTTCATAATATTTTCATTTTGCTTTTCTTTTTTTTCAGATGTGATTTTATTTTTGGGGCGTTTGTACTTTTTCCGTTATTCTTCGCCATTTCAAGAAAATAAATATTTAGCCTTTTGCTTAATTTAGTCTCTCTGTTTCATTATTGTATAAGGAATTCATTCAACCACGCGTTTGTTTTTACACGTTTTGTTTTAGATTGCCTTTACTTTTCTGCGATATTCAATAAAAGCTCTTCCCATTTATTCACGGCTTCGTCTTTATCTTGAAAATATTCCATTTCTTCAAATTTCCTTTTTTAAACTATCGGTTTAACACTCTCCATATCGAAATTCATACAATTTCTAAATGTTACATATTTTTAAATTTGTAATAACAAAATCAGAAAAATATCGTAGCATTTAATTATAATGGTGACGGTTGCCCTTATTTTTTAAAATGTCAACATTTTGATGAAATTTAACAAATCAATCAGTTTCCTGAAGTTCGTGTGCAAAAGGTACATGGTATTCCACCAATCCGAGAAGTTTGATGCTTAAGACGTATAAGCAAACTTATTGGTAATCATCAACACAGATATCATAAAAATAATTATAAGACTTACAACACCTCTACCGACCACATAACTTCTATGTTAATTATTTCTTTTCTTTTTTTTTGTTTTTGTTGTTGATGTTGTTGTTATTGTCACTACTTTAATGTTTCTATTTAAACATTTATTCATTGTTATATATTTGTTCTCATTTGCTATGTTATCTTTATATATATGTACATATGTTTTTGAATGCTTTTTATATGATTGTATGTTTGATGTAAACTTGCATTTTTAGTCTGTGGACTTTTTGACAAGTCATGAATAAAACCTTATTTGAACCACAAATAACAACCAAATGCATGAAATGGATATAAATATCAAGTAAAGATATACGCAATAAAATTCTAATATAAATGTGACAAAACTTAACATTTCTACTTTATAAAATCTCTTTTATTTTGGTAGAAGGAAAGTATTCTTCCCATTTTTAAGCAAAGTATATCTTTGTTTAACCGAACAACATTCAAAATAAATCATTATTACCATGCCCCTATAGGAATCATTAAAAAAGAAAAGACATAACGAAGAAAAGTTTCATACTCCTTGTAAGAAGCCTAAGGCCCATTTCACTTTAATATTTTGTTGTATAAAACATACACAAATTATTATGAAAGGATTTTTTTCTTCAAAAGCAAACAAATTATTTATTATCTTTTCTAATCAAAATTGATTTTTGTCTCAACATACTTTTCCTTAACGTAAGGTTATAGAAAGATTGAAGAGAACACTAGTATGTATTAATAAAATCAATTATTAAAAAACTCTAAATTCCAAATCTAGACTGCAGAGCCTGAATTCCTTCAACATTATACTTCATAATTATGAAAAATCAGGCAGTCTACAGATTAATAACTCCCTTTCCCAACTCCAGGCAAAAGGGACTACAACGCTGAACAGATCCCGGTATCATGAACTAGTCACTTTCTTTTTCAACCCCCACTTCAAGTAAAAACAGATTCCATTTTTTTTCCTCTTAAGCTATTAATAGTAAAGTTCAAGAATTTTGCCGTGGAATATGCGGCTATTGATGTAATAAAAAGAAGAAAAAGGGGGCAATCATCAAAAGTACAATAGGCACATTCAAAAAAGGAATCTAAATAGGCACATAACATGAAGGATAAGTGCACTTGGTATAAATAAAAAAGGGCATTTTATCAGATGTAAAAAAAAAAAAAGATAAAAAAGAGAGGGGCACTTTTAAGTTTTAAGTAGATGTAGTATACCTGCCAAAAATGGGCCATATTTCCCCAACCCCATCCCCGCACCGCCTCTGTTATTGATCCCGCCTGGTTTTAAGTGTGATGATACAAAACAAAATATTATATTATTGTAAGCGCTGTGATATAGTGTACTATGAATATCGTAGCTAAATGCCTAATAATAATAACAATAATAATAATAGTAATAATAAGTAATTTAACAAATATTTGCTAAAAGAGGGGTCAAGATGGGAGTATGACTAGAACTTGGAGTTGGGGTCAGAGTTGGAGTCGGAGTTGGATTGGGATCTTAAGAACAGTTATCCTTGTCGTAGCCCTTGTACTTTTCTCCATCGTAAGTCTCCTTAGCTTGAGCGAAGCAGTCTGCCGCATCCTTATCACACTTGCAAGTTCTTTTCTTACATTCCGTGTTCGTCCACCCGCCTAAAAGGGGAAGAAAAAAAAACGATACAATTAGTCAAATCTAATCTTTAATAGAAATGTTGAGAAATAACATCCATTCATCCATTCGGACTCCCCTGCCCCTTTTCTCGACCAAGTAATAGATATTTCAAACGTCAAATCTGGTCACAGAATAATTAGGTTAAAAATGAAAAAATCGAATTAGGACAACGAGATAAATAGCAAGAAAAGTATGTTTCAAAATTAGGGGCCTTTGTAAATAACTTGAGAAATTGACAACTCGCTCATGAGTTTGTGACGTCATTTGCTTTCTATTCACCAATAGTTTTGTATAAATTCCACATGTTTCCAAGAATCCCCTTCCCTGAAGCCCTTGCCTAAGTTAAACATATGGCTTGTTATAATCGTGAAAAGGTCCATGTTATAATGGTCTCAAATATTTCCGACATCGGTCTCTAATAAAAAGATGAGCCATTTAGGGATGCACCCTTATCAATTCGCTCACCCTCGTCAATTTCATAACGAGAATGAGGTACAAACATTTCTTAAAGAGCCCAAAGCGTGTAAATAGCTAGGGGGTAGAGGCCAGGGGGCACTAATCCCCCAACACAATCGAATGGTGGGTAAGAAAGGGAGAACAAGACAAATGCGACTGCGTCTCCAATATGCCTGCGCTTAAATACAGTTGGGATCAAGGCTTTATTCTTGGAAATATCACAATGAGAACGAAAAGTCAAATATTTCATGTCGATTGATCTTTACGACCTCTGACCTTTGACGTGAAAATCCCAACATCTGATCACTTGTCTCCCTATTGTGATGCATACTATAGTTACAAGTCTTAAATTCACAAGTTATTTAATAGCTTTAAATAGTCATTGATTTGGTCATAACATTGTTAAAAACCCTTTAATTTTATGTTAATTGACTTGCTGACCTCTGACATTTGACCTTTGTTTATCTAACATCTAATCATGTTGTCTCATTTCGGTGATTGAAGCTCATGGCTCTAGTCGTACTTGAGTCGACATTGCGATAACAGTATTGAAACACAGAGATTTCATGGAAATGAACCTTTATGACCTTGAACTTTCATCTATTTTCCCCAAGAATTTAATCATATTGTGTTTCGACGGTTAGACATACCCGTATTTTGCCTGACGTGATTCTCGACATATGAAAATGAGGCTAAAACCTATATCCTCAGAAATTTGCCTCTATGAACTTTGGCCTTTGACCTACTTACTCCGAAATCTAGTGAGGTCCCCTTCCTATGGTGAAACAAAGTATCACCAGGTTTAAAGCTTATAGCTTCAGCGGTACTTAAAGCCACACTATCCTACTTGTAGCTACTTGCTCCCTCTATATAGAAAGCAATGCCTAATCGGTGACCATTGGTCCCCCATTATCCTCTTTTTCTTATGTTAATTGAGAGCTGAGTTGATGAGATAACCACCTGTTCAGTGACCTTGCAGGGCGGCCTAATCCCTCCTATAAACTAGTACAGATAAGCTTTAAGATATCGTGATAACGAGAAAGATGTGACGGACGCGTACGGAGGGATGGACGTAGGGACAACCCTAAAACATAATGGCCCGAATTCACAAAGGAGGTTTGTCGACAAACCAAGGTTTTCGTGCGTCATATGACGCGTTTCGACGCGTTTTTACAAACCAGGTTTGTACAAAAACGCGTCAAAACGCGTCATATGACGTACATAAACCGAGGTTTGTCGACAAACCTCCTTTGTGAATTCGGGCCAATGCCTCCGGCACCACCTTCAGTTGGCGGAGGCATTACAAAAGAGGGGGGGGGGGGGGAATAGGGAAAACGAGAGGGGAATGGAAAGTGATAAGAAGATGATCGAGCCCTTTCCCACACTCTATTCCTTTCAGTTTTATTGCGAATGAACCTCTAGGAAGAACAGAGCACGGCAATAAATTAATATCTCTGAATAGAGCAATACATCGGTTGTCTTTTCGAATAGTTGTTTTCTTTATTTTCAAATATATTGTGTGTCTTTTAAACGGATAATAAAAGCAAACCGAACCAAACTAATTGCGTATTTGCAAGTTGGACGGTGACCCCCTTACCCCTCACTGATGCCACCCTTCAATGACTGCACCCCCTCCGAATGACGGTTTAGAGGAATACAAAACCAGCAAACATTATAATCCATTTTTCTGTTTCAGTGATAAACTACTTACAATAAGTTTGGTTAAATTGTACCCTAATATTGACGAAAAATAGGGACATGCATGTTTGATTGGTACAACTTTATACACAAATGTACCGTAAACTAAGCAATACCGATACCGGGAATTATCGGGTAAGAAGTAGCTAGAATTGAGTAAAAAATTCACGAAATTATGTTTGTAGAGCCAACGTAATAATAATAAAATATAATGATTTTAATTTTATTTAATATAATTTAGAATGTATGCTTGAATATGAAGTTATCGCCCTTCTGACCTGTAATGAAAGTTGTTCTAATGATGGTTGTAAGTAATAAATTAGAATTAGAAGGGCGTAAACTCATACGTCTTAACATAGAGTTAACGTCCTTCTTGCTCTACTGTAAGCCGGTAAATAGCACTCACCGGTAATGCATGTACAGCTGCTGCTGCTCCACTTGTATGTGACCAAATACGGGCTGCAAAACCCAAACAAGCCGAGGCTATTATCTGCGATGACATCATCATAGCATTTGTCATGGGCCTCGCAGCATCTGTAGAGAGGAATGATAACACCTCTACGATAATACACCAGTTTACGGTTATGGGCGCCATTTTAATTTACGAGTAAACAAACCGTTGACCCCTAGAGGTCAGTTGTTTACGCGTAAGATAGCGCCCATGCAAATTTGATGCGAGCGCACAGCGCAGGCAGTGATGTCATCAATGTTTTCAGATGCGCATGTATTGTAGCGTCACTGCCTGTGCTGTGGGCTCACATCATAATTTGCATATGGGCGCAATCTTGATTACGCGTAAACCACTGACCTCTAGTATCTGAATTTCGATGGGGAAATCACATTTCTAGAAAGTTCAATTCCTGCCCTTTCATATGACACCTGAAACAGGAAAAATGAGCCAGGAATAACAAAGTTCGGTTTGTTTAAATTAATGCTTGCATTTCCATAATTTGATTAAACGAGTTCGTTTTCACTGGCTGCCTGCCGTAGCAATAAACAAAGTTGACAAAAGACTTAACAGTCAGACCGCAGCGCGCGCGTTAATGAGGCTGAAAGCTGATTTTTATTCAGCGATATCTGGCGATCACATAACATTTACGTCTGCTGAATTTCCATGCGCTTTTCAGTGAGATTTGTAGGGGTGTACATGTAGCTGCGTTTTTGGTCGTTAACTTCATTCAACATGGCAGCATGCAACGGAAAGTCACTCTCGAGATTTTCAGCATCAGTTTGATATGTAATTTGCCATATTTCGCAATTTGTAAACAATAATCTTCACAACTTTTATTGACGCTATTTTTGTAACATTTCAACTGCTGTTTTGACCCGGGAATTTCACTTTTGGTTCCTGACTTTGGGACAAAATAAATTTGTCCACTTTGAGATTCGTTCGAAAGATGAAAAGTCACTGATCAAAAATATGTCAAAACCTAATTGACGCAAAATCATGTTCTTTTTATAATCATAGTAATTAAGACCCTAAAAACCCGGAAATTACCAATTTGTTCTTTTTATGATAGCGCGAAATTGTGTGATTTCATACTCGTGCACGCTCGCCGTCTGAGCAATGGCAATGCATAACTGATTATTAAACTCCAGGGAGCTCCGCCGCGCCATCGACTAGCCGAAAAAAAATTAGAAAAATGATTAAAAAAGAAATATAGTATAAAAGAATCATCTACATGGCAGGTGAGGTATTTGATCTCGGGTCCTTAGATTGTTGTCAAGACGGCTTGCGCGCACGTTGCATTACAGGCGCACGCCACAACGCATGGTTACCAAAATGTGGTATTCAGAATGTTAATAAACCAAAGCGAAACATATGTGACCTAGTTGACGTAGTTGACCAATCAGAATTCTTTATTATCACATCGGCAAAATTTACTACTTTTTTTAATTATTCATGAACATGAGCGTGATCTTTTTTGGTTCCTGACTTTGGGACAGCGTAAAATATAATAATTTTGATATCATTGTAAAGAAAAATATTTATGCTTTATGCTGATTATAACATCTTCTTGACGCAAGAATGATTTCTATGTGAAAATCAGCCCTACTCTTTAGATAGATTTATCGTCGAAAAACCCCATTTTCAAGGCGAAATATCTGTTTCCAAAATATATCTAACATGATTGTCATATAAGTATATAGAGAGTGCAACTTCTTATCTTTAAAATAAGACCCATTTCATGAGAAATGAACAATTATAAAGGCAAAAATTGCCGATCGGGAAGACCGTCTGCACTACTCATTACGTATGCAAGACACGTAAATTCTTGCATACGTGCTGAATAAAATAGAGGGTTTTCGCACCGGCTGCGGTCTGACTGTTAACTCCGTTTCGTTGAAGATCAACCATGCATCAAGTCTTTCGTCCTCTTTCTGCATGGCTGATTGATACTCTTACTACTACTACCAGGCGCGTACGCAGGGGGGGGGGGGGGGTTGGGATCGACACCCCCTCAAATTTTGTTTGTGTGTGTGTTTTGGAGGGAACCCCCCCCCCCCCATTTTATTTTATTTTTATTTTATTTTTTTAATTAAAACAAATAAATGCTAATGGTGACTTAAAAAAGGTGACCTCCCCCCCCCCCCCCCCCCCCCAACGAAACGAAATGTCGATCGGTCAAATTTTCTAATTTCGGGACAAACAAATTATTTTAAAAAAATGCTCTTCCCCCCCCCCCCCCCCCCCCCCCCCCCCCCCCCCCCGCTTATTCAGCGGCTGGCTGAGACGTTGCGAAATTAATTTTCGGCGCGATTTAAAAAATTTAACCCCCCCCCCCTTCGAAAAAAATCCTGCGTAGGCGCCTGACTACTACTACTACTACTAATAATAATAATAATGTAATACAAATATTAATAATGGTAATGACAATATTAATGATAAAAACAATGATGATAAAAATAATGATGATACAAATAACGATGCTAACAATAATATCAATAATAGTGATATCAATAATAATAATGATACATGATTATGACATTTTACGTAATCGTTGCTGATGGAAAGTGCTTCGTACTACAGTTATTAATGTATAAAGTTCAATTATTATTGTGCGAACCTACACCTAACAAGCATTGCTTTCAAGTATGTACGTAGGACTATAAAACAATGTCAAAGATATTTCAACGCTAATTTCTGTTATATCATTCCGTTTATTATTGTCTGTCATTGTTTATAATATGTTGAACGAAATGCAAATAAATTCGCTCTGTATAGAGCGACTACTACTAATACCTGTCTGTTGCATCCACCGGGGTTCCTCCCCCACCAAAACCGCAGTGGCAACCGTAATTATTGTAATCCCAGCCCGAGCTACCGGTGGCGCATTCAATCATACCAAGGAACTGCACAAGGTTCCGTTTATTTCGAGTGAGAACGGGAGAACCATCGTCAGACGAACCTGTATCAGGAAGGGAAAGAGAGCGAGAGAGAGAGAGAGAGAGAGAGAGAGAGGGGGAGGGAGTGAGAGGGAGGAAGGGAGTGAGAGAGAGAGAGAGAGAGAGAAGAGAGATGAGGGGTGGGTGAGAGAATTTGTGAACTTCCTCTTATATCTTTGTTTTCTTTGTATGTACTACCTCTTATATCTTTAAATTTCATTATCAATGTCAGTTGAGAAGGATATCATAGTAGAAATTGCTCTTCAAATGCCGCTATATATTTCAAATATGACAAGAAAAAGCAGAAACGTTTGGACCAATCATTCATGCCACATTGAGTGATTTCAAGTTGGGTGTTAGTGTTAGTGTTAGTGTTTAGAGCAGTCAAGAGCTCTTAAATCGAGCGGAAAATTTACTGATGAAATTAAGAGCCCGATACCGATATTAAAATCGATAGCTTAACACCAGCCGTGACGTCACCACATACTTGATTTCACAACGATGATTTAAAAATAGTACATCAAAACTAAAGATATCATGAAAAGTACAGAATAAATTTACACCTATTTCTCTGGTCTTATAAAATAACTAATTTTACACAAAAGAATATATGAATTACCTGTTTCACATATTTGTATTTGATCGTCAGACAATAAATTGGCGTCGTTCGTGCGTTGACTGTGTGCGGGTACAACACTAACACCGAACTGGAAATCAACATTTGCTTAATCCCTAGGGGCTAGTGTTAGTGAATAGGACATTTGTACGTAAAAGATTAACACCAGCAACAAAGGTCGGTTCAGCAGACGACAATTTTGCAAAATCGATAACACTAGCTACCGGAAGTTGACGATATTCAGAGGTCAAAGCCTTAACACCAGCTGATTTCCATTTCGGTGTTTAGGCTTGCGTTATTGTTTATTAAACACTAACACCAGCCTTAAACACCCAACTTGAAATCACTCATTGTGTGTGAGATCGTTTCAGGCGGTTTATTGCAGAATTTAATCACATGACCAGTGCACAAGGTTAAATGTATGGGACGCATTTTTTTTACTGGAACTAAAAGTTGAAAAGAAAGAAAGAAAGATAGAAAGGAAGACCAAAAAATAAAAAAAACTCACCTAATTTATGGGCCCACGACAAGCAAATCGTCACGACGAGAATAAGTGATGTCAATGTCTTCCGATCCATTCTGCGCAGTATCCTTTTTTCCCTATGTTAAGAAGAGTGACGGTCAAAATATGATTGTCGATTTAAACTACAGTGTACATGTATCATTGTTTAGGCCAAATTATACACTGTTGGTCATAATGGTGGAATAATTATTTTTACCCCAATTTATGGAATGATTTTGACAATGATTTATTCCTAGAAGATCTAGATAATCGTATATATTCTCAGATTTTATTGAATAATAATATGTGTGTGTTTATTTTGCGTGACTCCTTTTAACCCCCCACCCTCGAAAAAATCCTGCCCCTGACTGAACCCAAATGCAAGAAAAAACATTAATGATGATAAATATCAAAGTAATTGACAACAGACTTTCATATAAAAGATAAAATATCCCTGATAAACTTTATCCACGTTGTATCACTCAATGAGAAGGTTACCTAAATCAAGGGATGCGAATGAAGTCAAGATTGAAATCATCATAACGAAGAGAATATCATACATTTTGCTTGTAATAAGCAATTCTTTGAGTCTTCAACTGCCTAATAGTCAATGTAAATAAAGAAGCAATTGTTCTGGAATGAAATAACACACACATAATGGCTTTTGACCCACATTCATTGCTTCAGCCCGACCTTGGTACAAGAGGATTTTGACAATGCTTTTTGAAAAGCCTGCTGTTCAGTCATCCTTTACAGTACATTCATTAAAATGGTATCATTAGCGGGGTATTAGTTCTCCTTTATAATAAAATATGATTCAAGGTTACACACGTTGTAACATTCTAATTAATAGCTACCAAAGTTGGGTACACTTTTTGTGTATACGCACTGCATAGGCAAGGGTCGTGCTAAGTTGCGTTTTTGCGTCCTGGACTCATACCCAAAAACAAAATCTCACGCACAAATTTCGAAAAAACAGTAATTGCATCCCGTACGACGCAACAGCAATTCCCAGGTCGGTTTTTGGAAGCTGGAGAAGAATCATTTTCGCATCGTATACTGATTAAAATTGCAATGATTTACACACATATCCAACCTATCCATATAGTGAGTACCGACCCATCTGTGACACTAATAAACAATTCGCATGGATTGAGACTAATTTTGTTCGATATAATTTGCATATAATTATGCGCAGATTGAAGAAAAAAAGAAAGAAAAAGAATTTTGACTGACAGGTCGTCTTCTGCCTACCTGTATAACTGAATGGAGTGTTTTTAGCCAGATTCTGGCGATGAAAGTGTGAAATTTTCTGAACAAAATAGGCTTTTACGATCGCTTTTACGGAACTGATTTTATGTTTCCACAAACTGCCGAACTCGAAAGCTTTGCCGGCATGCCTGACGAAGCCTCCGCGCTTTTGCTGAAATAGGTTCGCTAAATCGCGCTTTTAGGTAAATTAAACTTAGCGGGAATCAAATTGAGTTGTTTGCAGGGGCCTTGGTTGGGACCCTCAGAATTTGCTTGGGACAATTTATGTATAATTTTGTTTACTATATTCACAAAAGAGTATGTCCCAGTTTGTTACCAATTATTTAAATACATGTAGAATGTTCCACTTACCCTGATGAAAAGGAAAAGAAAATTGTTTAAAATGTTTTATTATGACCAATAAAATGACTAAATACAAAAAATTATAATATCCAGTCTATCCAAATTAGCTACTACTTTAAGGGGGAAAAGGCAAGACATTAAATCCCCTTGAATCATATCATATCAGATTTTCTTTATAAAACTGTGCACTTTATTAACGGGTTTGAACAGATAAATATTTCCACATTTCCACATGCACTGAGAGCACCTAAAATTATCGTCTATGTGGATGATTGTCTGTCAGCCGATGGAAGTGTGACATCAATCCCTAAATCTCAAAGATTGGAAGCAGCAAGAATAAAACAAGTGTTAAAGGTACTTTGTCCCATTTGCAGGCCCAACAAATTAAAAGGTTAAATTCCAACGGCATTTGAAAGATAATCCTAATTTAGAACTTCCCTAAAAAAATAGGTGGCTTGAAAATATCTTCAAGTGGGAAATAACGACTATAAGTTGTCGAATCGACTTTAGAGATATAGAGCGGTAGGCCAAACAAATCTCGGGGTCCGTATGGATCCATGAGCTGGCAGAAAAACCAAAAAGGTGGGCCCCCAAGCAAATATTGAGGGTCCCATTTAAAGGCCCTGCAAGAACCTCATTTTTTCCACCTGCTAAATGCGAGACTATACATTTACCTGAAAGCGCGAAAAACTTGCAAATGCGAGAAGTAAAAGCACGGAGGCATCGTGAGGTATATCGGCAAACTTTCCAAATTACAGTCCAGTAAAAGCGATCATAAAAGCCTAATGTGTTAAAAAAAATCACACCCTTTTATCGCCAGAATCTGGCTAAAATCACTCCATCCAATTATACAGGTGCGCAATAGACGAAATGTCAGTCATTTTTTTCCCTCTTTTTTTCCCCTTTTTTTTCTTCAATCTGCGCATAATTATATGCAAACCATACCGAACAAAATTAGACTCATGCACATCGTTTATTAGTGTCACAGATGGGTCATTACTGTTATACTATAACGACAGATTGGATAGATGTATAATTCATCGAAATTATAATCAGTATACGATCCCAAAATGATTCTTCTCCAGCTTTCGGAAAGCGTACCCTTGCCTATTATGATGGGGGTGACCAAAGTTTGCAAAGATTTTTTTTAAATATTAGGAAATGTGATTGATCCATTATCCAGGTATAATATCTGTACAAAAAGATGTCTACATTTGTTGTGCTTGCTTTGCTCGAGCTCAGAAATTTTGTAAACTGAAATGATATATTATACTCACTGTTTGCCTAGATCCTGCTAAATGCGAAGTGAGGCGTCGAGTCCTCTTCTGGAACGTGTAATAAAGGCGTCAACAATGTCTATTTCGCAAGATAAGAGGAGAGTTTGTCTCTGGGTCCTGAGTCCGGTCTGACAGATGCCAAAACATGCAGTGTGTCGAAGAATATATAGGCTGCGTGAGTCTGTATTTCACCGTCTGGTGATGTGACATTGAGCAGGTACCTGATAGGTCCATGGTTGAATCACGTGGTCCAAAAACGACACCAGAGGAAAATACATATAATTAAAGCTAACCAATCAAACGAAAGAATACATATCTCTCGCCCAGTTAGGGATGCAAATAATAATCACGTGATGAAGTGGCCTGGGCATTCCGCTTAACAAATAGAAACCTTAGTCTGTTCCCAGACAGAAAAGACACAACTTTAAATGACGATGGGGGGGGGGGGGGCTGGAACGAGGGACTTCAATTGCATCTGAGTACTTTTCCCACAATTGAAGTAATTAAATCTACTGTACTAGCGAACTTAGACAATTCCAAATCTTCTGTTGCAAATGTAAACATGTAATAATGGGGAGATTAAAGGTATGCCAGGCTTAGGTTTCCCAGTCACTAATTGATTATGTTTTGAGTTTTTACAATCGAGTTTCGTTTTATTACAATTGTTATACATATGTTAATGTAATACTATCTAAATCTTTAGGAAATTGATGCTAAATTCAGGAACTTAATTCAACGATAATTCCCCGACAATGTTGACAAAAACATTCATGAAGCTCGAATGAGGCAGAAAATAAATATCGAAGCGTAATGTAGGCCTGGCCTTACTTTGTCTCTTCTTTGTCATTTTCATCCCCAGCCATGGTGGTTGTGATCGTGCTTGAAGGGGAACGGAGAAGAGAAAAGGAGAATGTGTGGGTGGGTGCGTGTGTAGTTTATACGGGAAATTTGTTAGGTTAGCTGTTCCACAAACCAACCAAACAATCAGAAAATGTAGGGGGTCGTCCTTTTGACATTCTTTTCAAGATGGATATTCCTGCAACACTCATTATTATATTTTAGTCTGCCAATGACATTGTGGGCAGTTACTTTCTTGACTTGTAGCGGGAGGGTGAATCAACTTATTAAGATTGTGCTTAAAGTAGATTGACCATGTTGACGTGTAAGAGGGATTATTTTAATATTTGTTAAAATTATTATAGCTATGAAATAAGTTTGTCATTATTGCATCATGTAGGAAGGAGGTTTTCTAAAAAAAAAATTATCACGTGACATTTGAGGTTTCTACAAATGACCTTGCTCGCAGCCTAACGAATTTTCCTCTCTAAATTAAAAACATTGTGTTATGGAACTGATTGTGCGTGTAGTTTTTTTTTTTCTTCTTCTTCTTAGTATATATAATGAAAACGATATGGGTTTACTCATGAAACCCTGGATTTTTTAACACAAAAACAGAAAAAGAGAGAGAGAGAGACAAAAATATTGACTTTGTCTGGAAACCACACAAATGTATGTTATACGGACTGGCACGCTCTTTATATCATGTCACAGTATCGTAGGTAAATACGACTGGGCTTGTAACAAAGGTAAACGAAGATAGAAAAACACATTTGAAAGGAAAATTCTAAAAAGAAACGTACCTTGATTAATTTTGTAATGATGTTGACGCTGCATGGTTGGTTTTGTATTAAGAAAGATTTTTTTTTTAATGATCACTGATTGTAACCTAAGGAGCGTGGGTGCTTAGTAGCTGAAAAACATGTTTTTCGCATAAATTGTTTCAGAGTAAAATTACAATGGAAAACTTTGAAGCAAACATCCCTCGCTAAAATGATATACGAGAAAACTCGGAAAACATTTAACTGAAGTGAGAAATGGAAACAATATTTTGGCTTCAGTTTATGACACCTTACATGTGTCATAATGTAATTCAGGAAATAGGTGAAAGCTCTAAAACGTGAATACCCAGAAACATTTATGCATTTAGCTGTGGTATGCTATACTTGAACCTAAGAGGGTTCTTAAACGTTATTAAAGCTGATGTTGAAAAGTTTGAGAAACCCTGAATTTTACAGAAACATTGTTTTTGTAGCGTTCTCACGTTATCAAAAGAATGTCAGAACTACACAAATTGTATGTGGTACTGGATGACTTACAAGGAAAATGAACTTGTTAACATAATCGCATTATGTCTTGTTCATTCTAGCTCTAATGCTCTCTGACTGTTTTCAAGACAATATTATTTTTATAAATGTAATGCTTCCTGGGAGAAATTTCAATAGTTTAAACATATTTGTGGCTTACACCCAGTAAATAAGATCGATTGATCGATCTGTAATTGAAAAACAAGTCAGAAAAAATCTTGGAACCAGCGGGATTTTAACCTGCCATCTACTGCTTGCCGGGCAGCGACTCTAACACCAGGCCAT